ATAGGAGCCACAGGCGTGGAACCCATGGGTATGGAGAGCCGAGTGTGTGCTGCAAGGGTCATGCAAGCTGTCACAAATGCATCTGAGGAGAAAGTGCTGGGGACCCTGCAAATAGCTCAACCAGTCACACATGCAATCTCAAATCCAATCAGGTTTTCATCGTTCACTTTTCCCTAAAGTGAGCTACTTGAGTAGAACACTGTTCACGGAGGAATAAGCAGAAAAACCTCCTTCAAACTGAGCCTGCTGTTCAGTCCCAGCACTGGGGTGATACCGAGCCAGCGTGTGACCAAAAAGGCTTTTAGTTTCCGAACAAAATGGAAAACTCAGACAATACAAACACCATCTTCTTGAGGAGATGATTTCTAAACCCTGAAAGATGATGTTTTGCCATTCTGTGTGGAAGTTCTATGTATTTTAAATGTGGATTTAGTGGACCCTTTCTGTCCAGCTCATCTGATGAAACTTACCTTAACTCAGCTTGTTACACTGATTTGCCACACTTTGGTTCAGGTTGCAAGGCGAGCTCAGCATCTCCAGTCTTTGGTGGGGGACCTGCCCGTGTCAGAGACAACCTTCTACCTTCATTTCTATGGTTTCCATATCAGAAGGCTAGTCAAAGAGTAACACATCTGTGGGGCATACCTCTGCACCCAGCACTCTGGGAAGCTGGGGCAGGAGGATTGTAGATTGAGTCCTGCCTGGGAAACTTAGTGATTTAGTGAGACTCTATCTCAAAATAAAAAATAAAAAGGGATAAGGATATAGTTCAGTAAAAAGGCCTGGGTTTACTCCCTGGCACTATAGCAACCAAACAAACACTCATATAAAAATCATATCAGGAGTTGTGATATAAAAAAATATTCAGTCTTTCCTCTTGGTTGTCAACAGAGAGCTCCTCAAACCCTTGGAATTATGTTAGTCATAGGAACATCTTTGGGATTTCCAAGGTAACTACTGCCTTGGACTCACAGAACTCAGAGAATACTTTGTTTACCTCTATTGATTTGTTGTGTCATAAAAAATAAGGATGAACACTTAGATGATGAAATATATATGGTAAAGTCCAAAAAGGTCAAGAGCAGGAGCTTTTTTCTTGTGGGGTTGGGGTACTTTACCCTCCCCCAGTGGTGCAGTCACCAACTTGGCATCTAGCACACTGGAAAGTTTACGAGGTTATAGAGTTGCACCCAATACCTTCACACCCATGCAGCAGAGGTCATGGCCTTTCTGGTGACAGTCCCCATCCTGAGCTGTCTAGGGCCCCAGTCTGAGTCATCTCATTACCTAAGCACAAAATAATCATGTTCTACCAAACACCTGAGCAATGCTCAACAAATGGGCCAAGGTCACAAGAGACTGAGAAAAAGAGACTGAAGAAGCCTGAACAGAGAGGCTCAACAGTTCATTGAGATGTCCTGCCCTGGACAGAATTCTAGAAAGGGGCCACAGTGAGAAGGTCTTCAAAGGACAGTGCTAAAATTAATTTCTTAGTTTTGATGAATGGAGCAAGTTATGAAAGATGTTAACATTATAGGAAGTCCACTGAAGCATGTATAGGAATACTCCTCCATCTTTCAACTTTGCTGTAAACCTTCTGTAAATTTACAGATCTTCTATAAAATTCTTATGGAGGAACATTTAAAAGTGAATTCCCATAACACAGTTTTAACATTATCATGGTGAACTAAGACCATTTATAATTAGACTAACGCACATACACGTCACGCATCAGGAAGATGTAAAGTTCTACCCTGTCCAGAAGCCATCCGAAGTGCAGAAGTCTTGTGTGACTGACTCCTTACGTCACAGCATCTGATGACAACTGACTCCAGGCAGCCACAGTCACAACCGAATGAAGTGACAGGACACTCAGCTGGTGTCTGGAGCTGAAGGATGCGCTTGATGTGCAAAAGCCCCACATATTGGCTCTCAAAAGCCAATGTGCTCCATACAGTAATACAGGAAGCTTCATCTACCGAGGACAAGGCACCTCAAGGTCATCTTGTGATGCTTTTGGGTGCAGGTTGACAGCTGGTGCTACTGAGGACTTCCAGAGTCCATACGAGCGGCAAGTCAGAGCAGGGGTACGAATCCTACCTCTAGCAGTGTCTCCTAAGCCTCTCTTTCCTTCCGTGTGCACTGCCAGGGTCCTGTCCTGAGACATCATTGTCTCCTCACTGTGATTACTGCAATATTTTGTCACCTCATCCATTTGTGTCCCCTTTCAAGATATTTGCCACACAGAAGTCACAGGATCTTTTCAGGCCACAAACCTGAATCACTGTCACTTCCTCTCTGAAACTTTTCAGAGGTGTCTAATGCCCCCAGGATATTTAGCAACACATAATAACGAAGATGAAGATGATGATGATACAAATAGCAAACTTACACAGAGCTTCTTATAATCCGAGACTGAATTACACATGCAATTGACCTTCATTAATTGTAGATTCTGTATTTGTGAATTCGCTCAGTTGATTAAATTTCTTAGTAACCCCAGATCAGTACCCGCAGTGCATGTGTGGTCATTTTGGGTGCACAAAGAGTGGCAAAAACTGGGTCACTTGATGTGTGTGTTTCGACCTTAGATCAAAGAAGGTAACTGATTGTCTGCCTCTGTGTTTGAGCTTTGATACTCTTTTTGTGAGCTATTTAATGCCATTCTTTTGTTTATTTTGTATTTCTCTCCCTCGTTCTTTTCCCCTTATTTCCTCTCTTCTTTTTTTCTTTCCCTTCCTTCCTTCCCTCCTTTCTTCCTCTTTTTCTTTCATTCTTCTTTCCTTCCTTCTCCCTCTCCCTCTCTCTCTCTTGCCTGCCTGCCTGCCTGCCTGCCTTCCTTTCTTCCCTCCTTCCTTCCTTCTTTCCTTCTTTCCTTCCTTCCGGTGGTTTCACTCTTTGAAAGGTCCTAAGCCTGGTGCTAAAGTGCTCTCTGGAGGTCCTAAGTGTGGGAAGGCTGTGATGTGCCGTGCAGAAGAAATCCGTGTGTTACATACTTTCCTTCAGGTGTGCCATATGGTGCTGCTACCTCTGAACTCACTGTGTTAGTGAATCACCAAAGTATTTTTAAACAAGGTGCCTGAGACAGAAACACACATAAAACGAGGCTATCTATTGATTAGTTGATGAAAATGTTGTGATGGGAGACTCAAAGGAACCTGTGCCTCTATTCGCTTGGAACAACGGTTCCATATGCACTAGCTCATTGTTTGGACAATTTTATAGAACATAAGCATAATGAATTGTGTGTATTGACTGCAGTAACTCACTTAGAACTTGTAAGAATCTTATAAGCCAAAGTACTGGCATACATAACCCTCTAGCATGTCATCTCATTTCTAGTCTCAGCCAGACCTGTCTTCTTTAAAATCTTAAAAGTGTCTTTCCAGGACAGAGTAGACAATTATATTAAGGACCTCCCTAATTTGCATTAAAAATATCAATATAGAAAATAAAAGCATCTCTCTGCAAAAAAAAAAAAAAAAAAATCAAGGACTTTTCATAGACTATTTCCTCTGCCTCTGACCTCAGTTTCAACCCCTTTTATCACAGCTTCTTAGCATCTCTTAGTTTATTTAACTCATTGTTTAATGTGAGTTTGAGGGCCAAAGATCCTAATGAGGTAAGAAAGAAGGGCGGAAAAAACCAGAGCCAGTAATGTGGCACCTTTGTACATGAGAAACTTGGAACATGGAGAGATGATGTCCTGTATCATGCCAGTAAGTACAGTTTGCAGTTACTACCATGGGTTAGGATGTAGCTATGGAAGGAGACGGAAATGTAGCTGAGAATGACTCAGTGCAGGAAGTCAAGAAGGCTTGAGCCTTCGATACTGAATAATACACAGTAGCTGGGAAGTGCCCAAAGCATAGTGACAAGTAGAGGAAAGGGCAGAATAGGAAGATGGCACTGAGCACCCAAAGGAACTGAGGCACCGCACAAAGGAGTCAGCTGGGGGATCTGGAGATCACAAGGGCATTGTGCCCACTGGCTTTGAGAGACAAACAGGTTTGGGGAGGGCTAAACCCACTGGGTGAAGTATGCACAAGATGGGAATGATGACGGTGTTGGGGAGAACTAGAGAGAAATAAATGGAAGAAGAGTCTGTAATTCCATGGCCTGATTCCTATGCTTGAGACTACATTGGGGGGCTGGACATCATCCCCCAGCTTCAAAGTAAGTAGGTCTGGGATGGAAACAGAAAAACTGCATGTTATGGCTCGTGTCTAGATGTCTCGTGGTCTCCCACAAAGCCTCATGTAGTCATAGTTGGTGCTTTTTCACAGGCTGGATCTAGAGTGTGTGATGCTAGAACTGATTCATGGTGCAATGCTGGTGTCGAATTTAGGGTTTGGGTGCCACCCCCCTTAAGCAGCCTTGATGATATAAAGGGATGGCAGGAGCTGTGGTTTTCTTGTTGTTTGCTACATGCTGTCCACTATGAACTATTTCTCCTCGGCAATGCCTGTCTGCCATGCCACCCTGTCTTGGAGCCAGCCAGTAACGGACTAAAACCTCTACAAACTGTGAGCTAAAAGAACCACGCCTCCTTTAATTTTGGGTATATTTTGTCTCAGCAATGAGAAATGTAACAAAGACACAGTATTTCTAAAAGTTTCTGGAGGAGGCTGGTTCTGCAGCTCCTAAGATGAAAGCCACTCTTCTGGGTGGCATAGTCTATACTCTGAAACTCCCCAAATGCTTGAAGGGACAGCCCGCCTAAAGCCTTCAGCATGAAGATGTGGACAGGCCATGCCTGGGTATGGGCTTTAGGCTCATCTCCCCAAACAACAAAGGTAGAAAGAAAAGCACAGAAGTCTATGTAAACCTGGGTGAATCTTTGGGATTTGGGGAAATACTTTGGGAAGTACTCTGTCCACCAGCTCAAATGATTTAGATGATTAAAAACTGTATCGCAAATGGATAGGAAATTTAATAAAAAGTGGAAAGTGCAAAGAATAGACTTTTTCTGTGAAGCATAGAAAAAGAAAATAGCTTACCGGTTGAGGAGATTGTCCATTAGGTTTCTCTAGGAGTTCAAGTTCTCTTCCTGCAACAACAAAATGGTGAGACTTGAGGCCTGCATGTCACTTCCTTCTCACAACCAGGTCACATCACCACGGTGCGGGAAGATGGCGTTATTTTGTATGGCTTTGGGCTGATACAGGAGATGGAGTTCCCAGCCCATAACTAGCGAGTTGCGGCAGGCAAGAGGTTTGAAGCTTGTTAGGCCTTATTTGGCAGCCCAGCGCTTGACACTTAGCAATCAATTAACAATTAACCAATGTTTTAGTTATCCATTTATAAAATAAGATTGTAATGAGATTTAAATGGCACAGTGTGTAAGCTGTTATCACATGTTGGAATTATTCAATAACCCAAAGCTCCCTATTATGATCTGAATGTGTGTCTCTCTTTAAAACGCCTGTGTTGAGACTTAATTCTCAATGTGACGGCATTGGAAGGTGGAACCTTTGGGAGATGATTAAATCATGATGGTCCATGAATGGGATTGATGCCTTTTCACAAGAGAGTCCAGAAAGATCCCTCGGCCCTTAGATAAAATGAGGGAAAAGATGCCCACCTAGGATGCAGCTCTCTTCAGAAAACAAATTTGCTAGTGCCTTGATCTTGGACTTTCCAGTATCTGGAACTGTGAGAAATGTATTCTGTAGTTAATAAACCATCCACAAAGCTGGGCATGGTGGCACGTGAGTTTAACTCCAGCACACATGGGAGCTGAGGCAAAAGGATTGCAAGCTTGAGTCCAGCCTGCTCTATATAGCAACTCAGTAAGTCTGTCTCGAAAAAAGAAAAAAAAAAAGGACTCTGGTTGTAGCTCAGCGGGAAGACCTAGGGTTCAATCTCTAGTTACCACAAAAAGCAACCATCCAGCCAAACAATCAAAAGAAAGTATCGATAGCATTTTTGTAACAACAGCCTGAAACTAAGATACTCTAATCCTATAGTTGTAAATAGCACTGATAAATTAATAAATACTACATGACAATGTGCCTCTTCTCCGATGGGTATAGCTTCAACTATAAGTAAAAGAAAAATTAAGGAATTTGCTACATGAGGACATATCAAGCATTCAATAAATAAATGTAAATTTCCAATGAGAAATATATCACTTGGAAAATACCTTTGCTTAAATTGAAAACGTGTAGCATCTAGGATAAATTGAGTGTTCAGATTTCTTTTTTCTTTTTTCTTTTTATCGGTACCGGGGATTGAACTCATGACCGCCTGCTTGCAAGGCAGGTGCTTATGAGCTAAATCCCCAGCTCCGAGTGTTCAGATTTTTAACAATTTCTTGGTAATTATTAGAATATTTTACATAAACACAACTTTTTTCCCCTCAAGAAATGCTTTATTGGATATTTAGATAATGAACATGGCCTCAAATTTACCACCCAATATTGGAATGGTCACATCCCTGAAGATGTGTCAGTTGCATAGGGGTACAGGGGACCAAACTCATGACCCTGTGCTTGCCAGGCAGGTGCTTATGCTGCTGACCTAAATCCCTGGCCCCAGTTGCAGATCCTTGTCAGACACATCTTTTTTCACTTATCATTTTTTTGTTTAATAATTCCTTAAATTCTAAAATGCTGCTCAAATATCACATGCTTCTATTGTATTCTTAATTTTTATCACAGAACCCAATTTCATTTCATATATTAATTGATAATCAAGACATGAGAAGGCCAAATTCATGTGCAGATGGAGCCAAGTATCTAGTTGGAAAGGGAGTAAGAAGAGCTCACAAATAATTAAAATATTATGCAGGCTACAAATAATACCCTAAAGGGGGGAAAACCCAATAATCCTAAGGAGGTTCAGGTCTGAAAGATTGCAGGATGAGCATTTTGAGCTCATTTGGAGCTTATCAGTGGAGAGATGAGAGGACAGGGGCAGAGGGAAACTCATCATGGCCAGGAGCCTTTCAGGCAGAGCAGGGATTGTGACAGAGAGGCAGGAATGGGTGGATTATTACTTATTTTGCCAACAAATGACTCTGAATTACTCTATGACAAGTTCTGCTCTAGGAACCAGGAAGTGGCAGTAAATGGGACGCTGTATGGAGCACCACAGAGTGCAGTGGCAGCCTGGTGGTTCTGGATTCTTGGTGTTCAAAGAGCAAAGCAGTGAGGAGACCAAGATAGATGGAGACTTACTTAAAGGCAGAAGAAGAGGGAAGAAGACAGAACCCTCCAGGGGGTCATCCAGGGGTTGGACACCTGCATGAAGGGCCCGCAGGTTCTGGGCAAAAGAAATGGAAGGAGCATGAAAAGGTTTCTGAGAGGAGGAACCAGCCCTGGGGAATGAATGCTGAGCAAAGGAGAGAAGCAGTTCTTACAGGAGGACGCTTCTTGTCCTTTCATTATACTGTATCCCTGTACAACAAATCTGAAGTGGACCTCGATGGCCACCCTTTTGTCTCTTTGGCATCAGACCCTATTTTGCCTATCAGTGATGCAGCACTTCTAGCAAGACCTCAGCAGTCTGCTTCAGCAGGCCTACAGCTTCAAAGAGGAAGACACAGAGGACCCAATGTTAGCGACTTATCCAAGGTCACCTAAGGCTTCAGCTGAGACAAAAAAGGAGGCGTTGCTGTTCTCCTAGCTCAGAATTGGTAACTTCACGTAATCTTTGTTACTGCCTTGATTAAAGTACCCAACGGTTAGAAGCCAGTCTTAGACGTCTGTCTCCACATGTAGTGAAGAGTTTTGAGAGCTGAACAGGGTGCTAAAGCTGAGAGTATAAAAGGGAAACAGACCATGTTCCTTCCCTGCCATGTGGTTGGGAGGTAAGTGGTGAAGCAGCCAGTGATAAGTGCTTCATAGGATTGGAGGTGGCCATTTGGAGTTACAGATGTGCCTCCCCTTAAAGCAGAACATTTACACTAATATTCAAAACTTGAGATGGAGGCAGCCTTACAAAAATAGGTCTCATCCAGCTGCTTCTTTGGTGGAAGCTGTAAGCGGTGCTGTATGGCTGACAAGTCTCTGAGGTCCTCAGCTGAGTATTCAAGGCCTTCCCCAACAGGCACAGAGGGTTTGCCTAGAGGACCCCTGAAATGCTAATTCTGTTTTCAGCCAATCTGAAGTTTTTGCTGCTCTTAAAAAGCCCACCAATGCTCTCCTGTTTCTAGGCCTCTGGGCCCACTGTTTTTCCAGGTGGCATGCCTGCAAATAATTCACAGTTCCACTTAGCTTTCAAAACCTGTTTCACACACAGCTTTTCAAGGAATCATTTAAAAACTCCCCAAGCCAAACTAAATGTAATCACTCTAGACATTTTCTATGAAACCTTTAAGCTTTTGGAGAGCTCTGTTCATTTTCTGTTTTGGATTATCATAATTTATTTATATAACATTTTATGTCCCTTTCATGGTGGCATGGGGCCACGGTTATCTCACTGTTTATACACCGTGTCTTCTGATATGGTGACTGGCAGGTAGATGGCACAGTGCATGTCTTTTCAAAATGTGGATTATTACGGACAATTTTAAGATGCCTAGCACCAATGAATTAGATTATAATTTAATGATGCCCACAATTTAACAGATAATGCAACACTACTTTCACTTTTAAGATCTTTGGAATTGGAATCCACATTGTAATCACTGCCAAATCAGTGTTAAATTGGCAGATTTTCTATCTTCCTGACACATAAGATAATAGTAAACACTATAATCAATGATATCTAGTATTTGATGTAATATGGCATTTAATACTATACTATAGTTCATCTTTGGAAAATATGATGCACAAATTTTCTTTAAAAATCTTATATTAAGCGTATCTACACAGATTATACAAAGTAGAGCAAAATGTGTTCAATTTGTCCAAGAACCTTCTATCATGAAACTAAGAATGTCCAGAAAAGGACGTCATGAGCTCCATGCACTATAATGATCATGTATGAACATAACAGTAATAGCCATCACATATGACGCTTCAAGGAAATTCTGATTTTTCCCAGAATGATTTTCTGCAAGATAAGCCTTTAAAAGTGGAAATATTTTGAGTACACACTGTTGGTGCTTTGGAAGCACATTTCCACACATGGAAATAAGCCTGCCTACTTTGCGTATTGGTCAAGCTGACACTGACAGTGAATTGGCTTTTACATGGTGAGGACCTGATTCCTCGCACAGCCAGCAGCACTAAACGTCTGAGGAGTTTGAGAGAAGCACTTCTCCCAGTGTGACTAAGCTACCAAGAAAGGCTTTATGAAAAAATAAGGCCATGAAAGCACATAGAAATTAGAGGGGGCAGTGCTCATTCAAACCGAACAAGAAAGAAGACACGTGCAAAAGACAGTGAGGAGACCCATGTTGTGGGTTTTGCGGTGACAAAATCAATATGGCACGTATGGTCAGGTTATTGGGGCCATTGAAAGTAGGCCCAGAAAACTGAATGTGCAAACGACAGGATGAAAGAGACATGCTAGAAACTGTCAGCTGCTAGTTGAAAGTTGAGAGAATTAAGAGATGAGTACAAAAAGCCTTTCAAAGAGTTGACCATTTGGTGCAGTAATGAGAAAAAAAAGCCTGATATATGTTGGTGGTGAGGGGAATCCACAGGAAAGCACAAATCTAGAAAATTTTGTTGTTTGCAGTGTTGGGATTAAATTCAGGGCCTCACACATGCTAGCAAGCACTTTGCCACTGAGCCACGCCCCCAGCCCTGGAAAATCATTTTCTTATGATTCTTTTGGTTTTCTAGTTAGTAATGATTTCTGCTGCTCCTGGTTACTCTTAGTATTTTGGTTCATGCCTTTACTCTATGTGGTGGCTTAGAAAAGATACGTTGCCTTTCACATTGCTTCCTTTTGCATAAAGCAATGATAACAGTGTCTTTTTCAGCAAGTAGCTGGGAGTAAATGAAAAACCGTGATAAAGTATTGGCCATAGTGGCTGGCATGATGTACATTCTTGATGTTGTGTACGATTTACTTATCACTACCCTCAGCAGCAGCATCGTCATCATCAACATTTGTTCGACCGTTTTTCTTCTTGCTACTAAAAAGGAAGCTCCT